AGAATTGCTTATTTCGTTAATCTTAAATGTGAATTTAGTGCCCTTCAAAAATGCCGTAGTTAATAGATGTAAGAGCCGACTGTGACGTCAACTGACGTTAAATGACGTTGCAAAGTTAATTAACACAAACAAACATTGCGAGGAAAAAAGTGACAAATTAATTCTTAATGCACATTACGTTAATTTTTACGTGACTTTTTCAGGGTAATAGTTTTTTAGTAAATTGAAATAAAACATTTTACATTTTGGTGTTAAAATTCCTAGAGTATTGAAAATGCATGTAGTTCCTACTGTGTATTCTAACGCGCGGTGACAAGGTTTCGCGTGTGTTATAGAAATTTGAACGTCGTGGATTTCTAATGGATTTCATAAGGAAAATTACACTGAATGTAAATATTATGTGATATTATGATATATAAAAATGTCACATACAATTACTTCAAGGTTTGGCGATTTAATTATGACATTAATCCCTATTGAATAATACTTCTCTGATATGTTTTATACGACTTATACACTTAAAAATATAAAAGTTGAATTCCTAAATGTTGAACTAAAATAATGTGTAGAAATTATGCCGCTAAAATTAAATATGCGGACATAAATGCAATAAAAAAAATTATTATATAGCTAATAAATAGTCTCTAATAAAATACTACCAAAATCTAGAGAATTTTAACGTTCAATATCTAGACATTTTATTGAACGCTAACTTTGTACTACGAATATGAGTATGCCCGAAACATTCCGAATACGAGCATTCAATATCGAACGCCACGTTGTAAACAAAAAAAGTCGTCTGGTCAAATTCTTAGAGCTAAATTAAAGAAAGGAAGTGGCACCTAGGTAAGATGTGTTTAATTTTTCACACAAAAATGAAATTATTTATTAAAATATAGTACATATTAGACCCATTAAAACCTAAATAAGCAAATCATATCGCTCGGTAGGGTCATCGAAATGATGCGATATTGAACGCTAATAGGACAGACTTTAATTTGAATTCTAAAAAATTATCAATTTGAGGGGTTGTTTTAGTTGGAATAATTATTATAAATTATGTAGAAATGTTTCAGCTATATAATAAAGGAGTTATTGAACTTACATTGGTGAATATTGGCACTCGTTGGTTGTTCAAATGCACTCGCAAGCTCGTGCATTTGAATAGCCAACTCGTGCCAATATTCACCAATATAAGTTCAATAACCCTATAATATGAAGACTATGCGTAGACGACTCGATTAAATCAATGAGAAAAATTCAACGAAATTAAAACGACTTGTAACATCAGATTCATTAATATAAGGTATGGCACTGAATCGATGTCTGATTTAATTAATGGAATACTTCAAATAGTTATAGGATATCTTGCAGGCCCGTAGTGCATAGTTAGGCAATGTCTTCCTCTTTTTCTGTGCATTTTTTAAAGATCCATGCCACCCTTTGAAAACCGTAGCTACGGGTCAGATTTTTATACTCCGAAATTGATTATTAAGACAATTGATTATTAAAATTAAAAATCTTAAATTTCACGTTGTCAGTAGTTGCAATGTTTTTTTTTCTCAGGATAAGCAATAAGAAATTTGTAGTTATTACAGTATTATAATTCTTAATGTTGATGCTTTTTAAATGTACTCAAATAACAACTTCATAAAATGTGTATGATTGTAAAAATTATAACATAAATCTGAATTTACAAAATCTATAATATTATTGCATGATTGGATGAAAATCTGGTACAGCACTAACTAATGAGCTTGTGTATTATCATAAAAAAGAAAGAGGACAAAATGCATTTTTTCCCATTAATTTTATTAATCTTCACCTAATGTTAAAAAAGAGAGTATATGCAGACGGAAAAATTTAATGCTTATATGTCTGCATGTATTCTCCAAGCTAAGAACATGATGAAAGATATCGTTATCATAGTTTGAATAGTGGACAAGTATTTCTAAATACTAAACCTTCACATAGTTTTATTGCACCAATGTCAGCATATTTAATTTTAGCGGCATACTTTTTACACTTTATTTTATTGCGACATTTAGGAATTCAACTTTGAAGTGTATAAGTCGTCTAAAACATACCAGAAAAGTATTATTCATTAGAGATTGTTGTCATAATTAATTCGCCAAACCTTGAAGTAATTGTATTTGACAACATTTTTATATCATAATATCGCGTTCTGAACAACAAAACGAGACGGTTATACGTTTCCGTACATATACCTAATATGCATGCATTTATTTTGAGCCACACATTAACATGTTTATGCCCATGCCAAATGCCCACCACTACGCTATAGTTCGTTTTTCTTGATATTTATTTGCTGTGTTTTTAGATATTGACAACATATAAATAAATATGAGTTTCATGTCGTTTATTAGGAAGCCCATTGAGGCCAGTCCAGAGAGAGAAGTATTTTTAATTGCGTTTAATCGCAATAATTATTACGTTTAAACGCAAAACATTGCGTTTAATCCAAAAAAAATATTGCATTTAAAAGCAAAACATTGCAATTAATCGCAATAATCATTGTGTTTAAACTCAAAGCACTTTGCTTTTAATCGCAAAAGATTGCTTTTAAACTCAATGTTGTTTTGCGTTTAAACGCAACAGTATTTTTGCGTTTAAACGCAAGAAAATTGCCATTAAACGCATTAATTTTTTGCGTTTAAACGCAATACTTTAACGTTGAAACGCAATATGTTTTGCGTTTAATCGCAATAATATTGCGTTTAATCGCAATGATTTTTTGCGTTTAATTGCAATAATTTTTTGCGTTTAATCGCAATAATTTTTTATATTTAAATGCAAAGATTATAATATATACTATGGTCCTATTCTTTAAAGAAGAGCCGTTTGGTTGTGTGTCTTTTTGAAAATGTTGTAGTTTATGAGATTTTAAGTTTAACAACGGCATCCTAACATTTAAGTTTCTTAAAGCTTTTAGAGCCCAACACTTTTAATGCAGCCATTAATCAATTCCTTAGATATCACAGATAATTAAGAATGTTTCAGTGGAATTAATAGACATCTCAATTTGGTAGAACACATCGGCCAATCTGTTTTCATTTGATTTATTTTTGATTTCATATGATTCCATCTCAAAAATTCTTGTGTTCTCGTATGTTTACGTATGTGATCAAAGGAAAGGTTGTGAATATACATATACATAGTATGTACATGTACATAATTATACATAAGTCAAAACAGTTTATTAGTTGTTTCCTTAAGCCCTTTATACAGGTACAGGGTTTAAATTTCGTGACTGCAACGTTGAGTGATAGTTTTTCAATCTTTATTTCTTTTCCGGTCTTTTATTTCGAAAATCCTTAAAAATTGTTTGAATACTTTTAAAGTTTAAAAGTAGAGAAAACAATTTAGGAAATGTCAATTGTGTTTGTAAGCAATTGACCAAACTTTAACAGGAATATAGATATCTATACATGCTGAAGCTTTGTTTCTTTCTTAGGTTGTCTTTGCTTTTACAGACCGACACTTCTTTCTCTTCTTTAAATCCATATCAAAGATTTAACCATTCAGAAAATGCTTGTTTAGAAGAATCTGATTCTATAAAGCTTAACAATAAACATTTCTCCTCATAGGTTACTACATATCAGCGTTGGTCCATTGCGCTCTTCAAAGATCAATAGAAATGATTGCTTCTAAAAACAAAAATTGTTGCGTTTAAATGCAAAAATTTATTGCGGTTAATCGCAATATTACTATTATTGCTATTAAACGCAAAAACTATTTTGCGATTAAACACAATTATAATTATTGCGATTAAAACGCAACAATGTTATTGCGTTTAATATTTTGCGATTAAATGCAAAGTACTTTGCGTTTAAATGCAATGATTAATGCGATTGATGTTTTGCGTTTAAACGCAATAATTATTGCGATTAAACGCAATATTGATTGATTGATTGATTGTATATTGTTTAACGTCCCTCTCCAGAATATTTCACTGATATGGAGACGTCACCATTGCCGGTGAAGGGCTGCAAATTTAGGCCTTTGCTCGGCACTTACGGCCTTTGAGCAGGGAGGGATCTTTATCGTGCCACACCTGCTGTGACACAGGGCCTCGGTCTATACGGTTTCATCCGAAGGACCGCCCCATTTAGTCGCCTTTTACGACAAGCAAGGGGTACTGAGGACCTATTCTAACCCGGATCCTCACGGGGCTTAAACGCAATAGAAATATTTCTATCTCTGAACTGGCCTCAACGGGCTTCCGTAGTTTATTTCATTTTTAAAAAAGTTATCGCACCTAATATTTGATGATTTTAAATTACAGTGAAATCACAAATTTTTGTTTTTTTTACTTTCTGTTGTTTTGGACATTGTATGAAGAGACCCACAATTCATGTCTACCACGATTTTCGAAATATAAAATTGCAAATATATAACTACTGAACAATTCTTCATAAAAATAAATCCAAGGTTCATAATAATTAACTTATTTTCCGAGAAAGTTAAAATTAATCAGTGTCGTCATGATTTTTTTCTCTTGCTGTGCTTCAATTGATGCATTGATTGTACATTGTTTAACGCCCCTCTCGAGAATTTTCCACTCATATGGAGACGCCAACACTTGCCGGTGGAGCTCTTTAAATTTTGTTCTATGCTCGGCACTCAGGGCCTTTGAGCAGGGAGGGATCTTTTTCGTGCCAGAACCTACTGCGACAGGGGGCTTCTGTTTATAGGGTCCCATCCGAAGGACTGGTCTCCACGTCCCACAATGGGATTCGAACCTGCGACGTAAGGATTGACTCCTTACTTTGCAACTCTAGAGCAGATGCTCTAACCACTGCGCCACGCGGGCGACGGTGTGCTTCAAGATACAGGTTCAAGAAGACATTGCATTCTTTAAATTTTTTGCAGAGCATTTGTGAAAGAGTGACACCGCTAGCTTACTTTTTTGTTCGGAGTATATATGATATAACTGATGTAGATATGGAATATATATTTTTAAAAAATGTACTTGACAGTCTCCGTCCGCTTGATTGGAGGATCGGCATCTAATGGAACAGTGGTTGTAAAACTGGGAAATACAGAAGGGAGTGTGTGTGATGACAACTGGGATAATGATGACGCTCGTGTGGTTTGTAGGATGTTGGGATACAATGGGTAAAGTCAATGCAGGATTGAAATGAATTATATGTTTTATATCTATATTTCTAAACCTCAGTTGTTACAAATGAAACATTGGATGCATGGTTTGGTAAAAATCAGTCGATATCAAATTCTTTAAGACATAAAGATAATATTTATTATCTATGATGGTCAGAATTCTCATTTTTGTCTAATGTATTGTAAAGCTTTGCAATTTTTATCACTCTATATGATTTTATTGATAAATATTGAAAAGTATTACACTTTATATCATATGGCTTTTCATTTCACCTAGACATAAGTATTTGTTTTCATGGTTTGAAAAAAAATAGAATAATAGCAGAAGACCCTAGGAATCATCACCCCTCTATTTACTCATACAAGTGTATATTTTTTTCTGAAGTTAATAGTTTTCAATATATGTAAACCATTCTATGTCGTAATATCGAAGGGCTTTGAAATTTATATTTCTTTGCAGTGCAAAAATAACTTTTTGCATCATATATTAGTTTACTTTTGCATGCTATTTTTAAGAATCAATGAATTGCATTGAATGGAGATTTGAAATAATCTTAATCTCTTAAGAATTTTTCACTCATATGGAGACGCCACCACTTGCCGGTGGAAGGCTACAAATTCTGACCTATACTCTCACTTAACGGCCATTGGCAGTGATGGATCTTTTTGGTGTCAGCACCTACTGGTACACGGGGCCTCGGTTAATACGGTCTCATCCGAAGGACCTGTTTCCACGTCCCACAGTGGGATTCGAACGCGCAACGTAAGGATCTACTCTTTTCTCCGCCACTCTAGAGCAGATCGAAGTTCTTACCACTGCGCAACGCGGGTGGCAACTTTAGGAAGAAGCTTCATTATTATCAAATCGTAATATTTTACTGCCTTGTGCCCAGTTAGACAAATTTGCAATATCAAAGGGTTTACAATGATAAAATGCATTTAATTTGAAGCATTCATACAGATCCATTAACTCGAGTACTATTATCATGTACTCCTACAAGTAAGAGCCTCGGTTAACGCGGTGCCAAGTCAAAAGTATCTCGCCGTGAACCTCTAGCATGCTGGAGTATATTATCATGGTACATGTATATGAAAAAATAGCTTCTAATTAAGTATGTCAACTCTTTTTTTCCGCACTCTTCTTTCAATTTCCTTTCGATTTTCAGAACTGCTGAGGCGGTATCTAACGCTCGTTTTGGACAATTTTCTGGGCAGATATGGATGGATGGAGTGAATTGTGGGGGTAGTGAATCATCTCTTGCTAAATGTTCCTTCAACGAATTTGGAAAACATGACTGTCAGCATAGCGAAGATGCTGGCGTAATATGTCACTGAAGTAATCTGGTTTACAGATCGAGATTAATGAACACAGAAAAATTAAAATTGATAAATTTGAGTAATTTTTATTGATTATGCATGCGCTGTTTGATTATGCTAATATAATTATTCAATTTATGCTTATTATTTTTTAAGATATATATTAGATACATGTATAATATTTTACGACTTTGTAAGAAATAAAAAATAAATGACAGAGCAGTAGTTATAATTCTTTTAAGGTGAGAGAGAAAAAGAAATCAGATAAAACGTCTTCTACAGTCAAAAAATTCCTGTGTTTTTAGCTCACTTGAGCCAAAGGCTCAAGTGACCTTTTCTGATCACAATTCTGTTGTCTGTCGTTGGCGTTGTTGTAGTCGTTGTTGTCTTTGTCGTGAACTTTTCACATTTTCAACTTCTCAAGAACCACTGGGCCATTTTCAAGCAAACTTGCCACAAAGTATCCTTTGATAAAGGGGATTCAAGATTGTATAAATGAAGGGCCAAGCCCTCTTCCAAAAGGAGATTATTATGAATTAATGAAAAATTAGTGGCATCTTTAAAAAATCATCTTCTCCAGAACCACTGGGCCAGGAAAGATGAAACTCATGTGAAAGCATCCTCAGGTAGTGTAGATTCAATTTTGTTCAAATCATGACCCCCGGGTGTAGGCCGGGGCCACAATGGCTGATCAAATTTTTATATAGGAATATATAAGTAAAATCTTAAAAAAATTTTCTACTTCAGAACCACTGTGCCAGGAAAGATGAAAGTCATGTGGAAGCATCCCTAGCTAGTGTAAATTCAATTTTGTTCAAATCATGACCCCGGGAGTAGGGCAACAACTGACGATCAAAGATTTTACATTTTGACGTCTGTCCACGGTACCTGTATCATTTACTATACCGGTAATAAATGGTTTTTAAAACTCATGATATGTCGACCTCGGTTGACTAGCCCGCTTATATATCCACAGTCCCAAGAGCAAACTTTACTTGGTATTTGTCGACATCCGCAGGTTTCTGTTCTACTGAAATTAAGTGTTTGTCAGAGAGAGAGAGTTGCTTTTACACCTTTCTCACACATATTTTGACTGCACTCTGCTTAAAGCAATATGAGCTGCATTTTTGAGAATTTTACTTTGCTGGTAAAATGTGTTATTATGATTAATTTGTATGTAATCTAAACCCTTATGATCAATAAGATCAAAATAAAGTTTAAAAATGTTTCAGAAGATATATATCTGTACAACCGAATATACAGTATTATATAAGAAATCATTATTTTACAGGACGACAATAATTCAATTTTGCTTCAATCAAAGCTTATAGAAAGTTCTTTCATAGCAAAAAAGAACAACAGAAGTTTATAAATGTTCTATTTTTCTGTCATTGAAATAGTTAATTACAAATTTGCAACATTTTTTCCAATGTCAATCATGCAGCTAATATTGCTTTAATCAATTCTATAGACTGTGTTTGTAGGAGAATCCATATCCCCCTAGGCGTCCTTGAGACGTTTATTACTTAATGTTCAGCTTAGGTAATATCATCGATAACTCTACACGATTCTGAGTATATTTATCTCGAAACCTAACATAACTTTATAATTTGACGGATTTTTAAAATCATATTTTCTTACTTATCTCTAATGCCTTTATACAGCTCAACAAACTTTTTAAGCTCACATGGTTTTTCGCACAAATTAAAGTAACATTGATATGATATTATATTGTGTATGGAGACAACAAAATATATATTAAAAGTATTTTGTTTACATAATTTGAGTTTTATTTCATTTACTGAAACATAATTCACACGAATCAATTGGTAGAACTTTGATATATTCATGGCTGAAAATAATAACTAATCTCATTTGAATTTTCAAAGTTTCTTACCAATTGTAACTGTCTTTTTATCCGTTCTTTTGAAAGTAATAGCTCTTGGCAGAAACGTAGACATGGGTACAGTACAGCTACTGTAACTTGTATTTTCTGTACATTTTGACTCTTTAACTCGGGGTGGTAATAGTATTTTTTATCTTTTTGATTGCTTTCTATGTTAATAAGGTGGGATTTTTAAGAGTCAACTTCTAAAATCAAGAATCATGAAAGATTCATCCCACTGCAAAATTTTAACGTTTCAAACCGTAAATGCAGAAGAATTTTCCTTTTCATAGAAGGAATTTACTATTCAAAAAAATGAACAATACTTCATTATCCTACCCTTTAGTGTGGTTTCCTTCTGCAATATTATTGCCCTTTCGGCACTACATTTCGACGAAACAAAGATGAGTATGGTAAATGAGCAAATATTTTTTTTAAAAACTCACCTTTAAGAAGAAAATTTAAATATTTCAAATACATGGGATCAAGGAAAGCTCGTTTTATACAATTTGTAAAAACATATGGTAGAATCATATAGTCGAAACATCCTACCATTTATTTATAAATTTTCCTTTAGAACATCCACTTTGGAAACTTAAGATACTGATTTTAAAAGACATTTATGCTTGACATTATATATGTAATATAACGAAGGGTTATGCCATTGTACTGCAGTTCCAAAGTGGTAATTTTTATTACAACAATGTGACCTTAATTTGTGCGAAAAACCATGTGAGCTTAAAAAGTTTGTTGAGCTGTATAGTTCCAAGTTTATAGAGCGCATTTCGTATTCCATCGCATTTTTCATTACACAATATTGAAAATAGAGGGATTGCTGAAATATCTTAAGCTACAGTCTATTAATTTTTGAAGTGATGTACATATAATAAGCTTGTCTGTTTTACTATGCAGTGAAATCTTGGACATAAAATCTCAACTCATATCTCGACACCTCGTAACAAAGTTAACCTGCATTTTTTTTTTTTTTTTTTTTTACATTTTTCATGTAACAACGATGTGTATGATAATTTACATTACAATGTACATGTTTAAAAACAACAGCTAGCAATACCCTTTGATGACGTCATCATTTCATATCTTTTTTAAGTTTCATATTCGGCAATTAAACATTTTTCATTGGATCATTATGGAGAAATTAATCAGAAAACGAATTTAGGTACTTTTTTGTGGTCAGCTACCGTTTTCAGTGCCTGTCTACTCATAAAAATGAAAGACATGTTTTAAGCTGCCCCACGGAGCCTACGCCCTTCCTCTTTGCATTATGTCCCGAAATACATAAGAAGGTTGGATTTAAAGGTAGACTCAATTAATAGAGCCCCCTACCAAAACATTTTCTTTTAAAGGAATATTTGTCAGTAATTGTTTCAAGTAGAATGTTGAAATCAGAAAATGCTAAGTCTACTTAGACTAAAATGACAGCCTCATAGTAAAAGGATCCATTATTATTCCCGATTACTACAATAATATAAAACAACAGACATAGACAAACTTGCAAAAAAAGACGTTAAACAAATAATAATATGTTACCGTAAAGGCACAAATTCTTGGAGGTGGGGAATTTAAGGAATTTGAGTTTGAGATTTTTTTCCTCGAATTTTCCCGAGTGCTCCGTGGCGTCCTTCGTCGTTATCTTTTTTAAAACCTGTCTTCTGAAAATAAATCTAATCAAATATCTGTATTAGTGAGGTAATATTAATGATGATGCAAACGACAATCGCCATGCAAAGTACGCAGTCAGAAGCTTAATTGTTCTTCCTTTGACCTGAAAATGTAGGAAGACCTGGCCCGAGAATGTCTGTTTGAAGTTATGATTCTTTATGTGAACGGGTCAATTATTGATATCATTGGAACTTTTAGGCATCAATGAAATATTTGCATGAAGACGTGTCTTTTAAAGTATATCAGAATATAATTAGAAATTAAAATTGCTAAATTTTTTTTTTTAAAATATCACAGAGTGTAGGTTTTGGATGAACTATTTGACCGTTTCAACGACTCTTCTAGTAGTCTCGATCATCCAGACGCTTGTTAACTTTGCGATAGAGTCCAAGTGTTTTGATGATCTAGACTACTATTCTTGGAAAAAAGAGGTTGTTAACAACTGAACTTAACGGACTTTTATGGAACGCCGTCGCTGCCTTATGTGGAGAATTTTCATTATACGATGGTACTTTGTCATTATAGGATGGTATTTTGTCATTATATGATGGTATTTTGTCATTATACGATGGTACTTTGTCATTATATGATGGTACTTTGCCATTATATGATGGTATTTTGTCATTATATGATGGTATTTTGTCATTATATGATGGTATTTTGTCATTATGAGATTGTATTTTGTCATTATATGATGGTATTTTGTCATTATGAGATTGTATTTTGTCTTTATATGATGGTATTTTGTCATTATATGATGGTACTTTGTCATTTTGTCATTATATGATTGTACTTTGTCATTATATGATGGTATTTTGTCATTATATGATGGTATTTTGTCATTATGCGATGGTACTTTGTCATTATATGATGGTATTTTGTCATTATATGATGGTATTTTGTCATTATATGATGGTACTTTGTCATTATATGATGGTACTTTGTCATTATATGATGGTATTTTGTCTTTATATGATGGTATTTTGTCATTATATGATGGTATTTTGTCATTATATGATGGTACTTTGTCATTATATGATGGTACTTTGTCATTATATGATGGTATTTTGTCATTATATAATGGTATTTTGTCATTATATGATGGTACTTTGTCATTATATGATGGTACTTTGTCATTATATGATGGTACTTTGTCATTATATGATGGTAATTTGGCATTATATGCTACTACGTTTAATTATATGCTACTACTTTTAATTATATGATGATACTTCAACATATAAGTCCGCAGGTGATCGATAGATTTGTAGAGATAAGGGATGTTGATAATATTTTAAGCTCGCCAGAGCGATGAACAATTGAGCAGTTCTAGATTTACTCCTATTGGCAATAGAATTCGTCTCAGAGAAATGATCAAATGCAAGCCCGAGAGAAGTTCAAACACCTGTGGCGTAATAGGGACAAGCGGTAAATGTAGTCTTCCCCACTCTCGACGGTCTAGAATTTAATTTTGATTTTTGACGATTTCTCTTTTTCAAGGTGCTAAGAACTAGTCAAACTTTTCAAGCACATTTTCGAGGTTTAAATGAATTCATTCGTGAATATATAAAAACTTTCACAAATTTGTGTATTTATTACTGAACAACATGTATCACCTACCAAAAAGTGGTAAATCGAGCACTCTGTTATAAATTTGAAAACCAAAAACGGATACCGAATCGGGATTACAAACAACAAAATTTGAAAATGAAGTAAATTAAAAAAAAAGTAAAGGAAAACCTCATTTACCTTCCAGATAATTTGCATGCACAAAAATACCCACATATTTTCTTTCTTTTCCTTGTATACATGTACTAATAGAACTCTTTGTCACATCATGTTCACAGCCGCTGACATGGCAAGGCCGTGTGGCAAGGCCATCAGGCATTCCTAGTCCCAGACAGGGCAAGGGTAATGCCTGATGGCCAGTGATGGGGGTTTCCAGGTGGAGAGGGGGGGGGTCCTGAAACCTTAGTATTAGAAATTGATTTTAGTATTAGAAAATAAATATTTAATCGTAGGTAGTGTTAAGTTTTGAATTGCCGCTGCATGGCACAGTGGTTAGAGCGTACGCTCTAGAGTCGCAGACTAAGGAGTTGATCCTTACATCGCGGGTTCAAATCCCACTGGGATGTAGAGACAGGGCCTTCAGATGAGAAGTAAAAATCGAGGTCCTAAGTCAGAGAAAGTGATGGCACAAAAAAAGATCTCTCACTGTTCAATCATCTGCAATTCCAGTACAAATTTAAAACTTGCAGCCCTCCACCGGCAAGTAGTGGTGTCTCAATATGAATAAGAAATTCTTAGAAGGGATTCAACTTACAACATAAACATTTTGAATTATATATTTTACATGCGTTCTAAATAATAATTAGGCACCTAGTGAGATGAACGATTTGCAGAAATTGAAACAAAAGTTGAAAATTTTAATTTAGCACGTAGACACACATATTTCATAAGTTCAATGTAAAACTTTTTTCACTTTTCAGAAAACTCTAAAAATTTAGTGAGGCATTTGCCTCACTTGCCTCAATTGTAGTTACGGCCTTGTATGGTTCTACGTTGGAGCCCCCCTTTGTATTTTTTAATTTGATTGTACTTTTGTAACTTAATTACTGTGGAAGCATAAACAGTTTTTTTTTGTCAATAGCTTTGATTTAACAGCAGTTTACCATATTCTACAGTGTCGGATTTAGGGGGGGGGGCGCACCCGCCCCCCTAAAATTGTCAAAGTTAGCGTAAATCACAGTTTCGTTTAGAAAATGTTAATATGTCTAATTGCTAGACCTCATTTTTACCCTACAAAATCTCTAGAATCCAGGAGCTTCCGGGGACTTCGGCCCCTAAACCCCTTGCCTAATTTTGGCACCCCCTCCAACTCCAATTCCTGGATCCGCCCCTGCAGAATTATTTTTTTATTTGACATAGTGACAGAGTATCTCTTCACTTTCACTGTATCAGGTGATTAGGAAATTAATCTAACATTGCTTCAATAAAGCTTTTAATGATAAGTGATTATCGTCTCCATTGACATGTTAAAAAAAATATATGATTGAAATTCTTACGGCAACTGACTTTAAAAGTCATTTTCATGCTATGGATATAATGAAAATTAATATGTTCATATTTTTTTAACACCGCCAATTATCTTCCCAAAAAATACCAATATAATGATCTACGAAACCTCACGTCTTCGCTCATCACTATGTATCGATAATTTATGAGCATAACTTTGAATTAAATTAAAAAAAAATATGTTAAAGTTTTTGTGAGTACAAATTATCTAGTATGTTAATGAGGTTTTCCTTTGATATTTTAAATAATACTGCTGATTTAGTACATGTAATGAATACGCATGTCTCCTAAAGTTTTCATGCATTAATGAATTCATTTAAACCTAGAAAATGTTATGAAAAATTTTGAATACATTCTGTGCAACAATAAAAGGAAATCGCTTAAAATCTTAAATCCGGGACCGTCGGGACTCGGGAAGACTAGATTTCCCGCCAGCCCTTAAATTTGCCACTGCTGTTTGAACTTCTCTCGGTTTTGCATTTGACCATTTCTCGTCCACGAATTCGATCGCCAATATAGTAGTAATTCCAGAACTGCTCTATTGTTCATCGCTCAAGCTTAAAATATTTTCAACATCTCTTCTTTCTTCTACAAATCTATCGATGACCTGCGGACCCATCATTAGTTCTTCGAGGATGCTTTTCAATGTGATCGCGTTTTCACAATTTTGCGCCATTTTCCCCTTAAACTAAGTGTACTACTTAACGGTATCCCGATCCCGATGTTATACCTATTCCAAAATTATATCCATATAATGACAAAGTAGTAGCATATAATGAAAAAAGTAGAAGCATATAATGACAAAGTAGTATCATATAATGAAAAGTAAGAGCATATAATGACAAAGTAGTAGCATATAATGAAAAGTAGTGGCATATAATGACAAAATACCATCATAATTATATAATATTGTTGCATTATGCATGTACAATGCCTAAATAGTAGGCAGGGTTTGACACATGGTGCACGAGCCGGAGGCGAGTGCACTATGTGTCAAACTCTGCCTACTATTTAGGCATAGTAAATGCATAATGCAACACTATTGTTATTATTATGCTGACTGTTGTAATTATTTATGCGGCAATCCATTTTAATTTTCCTGAAAATATCGGTGCTAACACAGTGCACTTGCAAGAACTCATTCAAAATCTTCATGCTAAAATTGGTTGCAACCTTAGTTATTTTGGTTATTAATATTTTCTCTAAACAAGTCAGGATTTTCTGTCCCAAAGCAACTCATCTTTATTTTCTGTTTTGTTAGTAAGACTTATTTGTTTGCAGACGTCGATTCTCATTGATAATTGTCTTTAACACCCTTCAATCAAGCGTCATATAAAAAGCGTTTTTATGACCCTATGAAATCAGTTCATCTAACGATCTGTATGTAATTAGTTTGAAACTTTGTTGTACATATTAATCTAATGTTCCTTAGAATAATATAACTGTTTTCAAATAAAATTTGTCTATTTTCTCCGTCTTGTGTCAATTGTATAAATTAAGTTTATATATTTTATAAAATTCTACCAATTAGTGATCGTCTCTGTGGCGTAATCGACAAGGCATCGGACTGACAATTTCATGGTCGTGAGTTCGATCCTCGACGTGTGCTCTGAAGAATTTTATTCAGTAAATAAAGCCGTGCACTATTCCGGCATAGTATGTTTACGCTTAAAATCCTTAGACCACTATGTGGGAATAGTAGGGTATATGTTATATAGAGACAAACTGACAGGAAGCATAATAATGAAAAGTAGTAGAATATAATGACAAAATAACATAATATAATGACAAAATACCATCGTATAATGACAAAGTACCATCATATAATGAAATAATTCCATCGTATAATGACAAAATACTATCATATAATGACAAAATACCATCATATAATGACAAAATACTATCATAAAATGAAAGTTCTCCACATAAGGCGGTGACGGCGTTCCATAGACTTTAATTATCCAGAGGGGTAGTTAATGACTAAGGATGAAGAACCATATTGGCCTCTTCTCTGGATTGTTAAATGTAAAATAAATTAATTAAGAATAATATTAACCTACTTAAAACAAATGTACCACACCGTATATACATAAACTCTTCATGGGACAATTTAAGCTGTCATCTTAGAAAATAACCCACTCGCTTCAGTACCTATTTCTGAACAATAAAGAATAAATACGGAAGTTTTGAGATTATCTCTTGCTGCTTCTTTTATTGAGGAAGGGATTAAGCAGACAGGTGGGGCAGTTATTTATATATTTGCCACACTTCATCATCGATATACTGGTTTATCATAACTGCATGATTGTCAGGATGTACTCTTCAATTCGGAAATAAACGAATTAATGTATAGACGTAATTTTTCTTAATCAAAAGAAAATATCAATCGTAATACTTTTCAGACGATTCCAAACAATCCAAACGTTGAGAACACAATTCATGACCAATTAATTAAATAATACATTTCTTTCCTTAGAACGTACATATATTTTCACATATAATTTTAACCATTGTTTTCCACGGTTCATAAGCATGTACAATGTAAAACTGTAGAAATGTGCACCTATGATGTATCTTTTGGAAGAAAGTTCTGTTCTCTATTTCCAAAATAACATAAGGTCATTTGGATTGATTGCATGCAGTCTTTCTATGCGATGTTGGGGACAAGTCATTCGTTTTTTAGGTCGCAGCATTGTCTGTTCCAAAAAGTCATCTGTGACTTCATAACCCAGAATCTGTTTTTTGTGATCCTTACATGAATATCCTACTTTGTGTTTCAGTTGCTTGTAAAAAGTTTGAGAAAGTTGCATGATTTCGTTTTCGATTTCCTTTTTGATTAAAATTGTAACATCCTTCAAAACTTGAGAATCAGACTTAAAGATCTGAAGCTGAATTGTGGATGATGACATTGCTACTGAGATATAATGCTCTTTGAATATAAAAATGGCTGCATTATTGTATAAGCAGCTTTTGCCTCCATCTCTAAGGACCGTCCAATTTTTAATCTGTGTCAATTTTACTATAAGTCGGCAGAAAATAAAGAACGGGAAGAATTCGAAAGAGAAAACTAAAATTGATGTTCTGGAATCAATTGCCCCTAACTTCTCTCTCCGTTCTCCAAAACTCCTTTTATTCATGCATGGAACATACAGAGAACTCGATCCGATGAACAATAATCCAAGCTTTTGCATATATGACAACAATTCTTCTGTGTGATACAAAAGAAATCGTGAATCCTGATCAAATTGGATGTCGGCTGCGTGTTCCTTTCTATCGAAATTTTTAAACAAATTTTCATCTTCTTTTTTCCAAATTTCGCATAGAAGGGATTTCTTCAAATATCCAGTATCGTTGTATTCATTCCAATCATTCATAGTGGCAATAATTCCTTTGACGTGGTTTCGGTCAGTAATGATGATTTTGAATGCATCTACAAACCACTGGACATCAATAATGACATTTTTACTGAGCCCCTCTTCGTTGAAATATAGTATTTTCCCGGCGTCATGGTAATACCGCAACATTCCCTCCACTTTTTCCTTTCTCTGTTCCTCCATAAACGACATTTTTTCAGTAATTTCTTCAAAAGGAAGAATATGCCTTTTCTCCTTATTTAACCCTAATTCATAATCAAAAAACAACCATTCATGTGGGATGTCTTCTTCCAATATATCCAGGTCTGCTATTTCTACAAGAATTTTCTCTATTTTTCCTATTGGATCAGACAAAAGTTGTACGTGGAAACATCTGTCTTCTCTGATATATTGAGAAAGATTTGAATCACCTGGAAGTGCATCCCCGAGAGATTTCAGCAAGTCGGCTTTGTCCTATGTTTATAAGACAATATATGTATACAATATACAACAATTAAAGCAAAATTCAAATTCTATTCAAATACATCTTATATTTTATTTCTTGCTAAAAACCAGGAAAAATAAAGCTCAAAGCACATGGTTTTTTTTTTACAACCTCTGCATAAAAATACTTCAAGTTTAGAAATATAATGCAATTATTGACTGCTCCTTAAAAGAGAGAATAAAGAAACACAATAATAGTAAGAAAATTTTTTAAATAAAATTTCAAAAATTGGAATTATTTCCTAGAATTACTCATAAACTGCCATATTAGTTAAAAGTCATTAACCAAGTTATTTGAAAAAGAAAAATAACTCTTTAATGTTTATTGAATGATTTTTCAGTGGAATATTAAGAAAATTATTTTAAAATACTCGAAAAGAAGATTGGAATACAAGCTTTACTAAAATAAAATACAACATCTACCTTGTAGATTTTTTCGTCCCAGTGTGACGCCACAATTACAACATCTACATGTCTCCCTTTTCCACCCTTTATAAAGCAGTATGTGTGGATAGAGTTCAACCAGAATAGGAAATAATCTTAAAAAGGAATGGAGAAAAGAGTTTGAATTAATATGAATAGGATATTAATGAAGCAAAAGTGCCATCTTATTTGGAATATACAAATCTCACACTTTCAGTCAAAGTAACCTGTATTTGTATAATTTGAAATTTCTTTGGAGATGCATTTAGAAAATTAGTCATTGCTTACTGGAGATCAAGTTTACGAACAATCTTTTGGAATAAGGGGTTTAATATTACATGTACATGTAGCATACTCGTATTTATTTTACAATATTATAAAGTAGAATTTATTTTAAAAAAACTCATGCTAAGGAGAAATCTCTTGCTGTGGACGTCAACTCGACAAAAATAAAAAAGACGTTTTGTCAATTAACGATATTCATTTTCAAAACTACATGTACATTGATTCAATATCACACAATGAAATCGAAATACATGTAGAAGAAAAATATGTTTCATATTTGGATACTTTACAAGAAAAACACATTCTTGCAACCCAACAACAAAATAAATGATGAACGTGATAATGTCAAAGAATGAATCGGGTAAACGTTCACATTTGGCCCCCCGATAATTTACAAAAAATAAGATTAAAGATTTTCTACATACTTTTGCCTCCATCTATCCAAACATTGTAGTTGATTAATTTCATTTTCGGTTTTTATTTTCTTGCTCTTTAATTAGGAAATTTATCTGATTAATATGGCAGGGGTACGTTTTTTAAATCGATTTCTCATAGACTTAAGGCCACACCCCCATTTTGCAAGCCCTTTTTTTATATGAGCGCATTGATTTTTCAAGTTGTGCTAAATACGGTCAATGTGAAGAGTTATACTAGTTATTTACATTCATGAAAGAAATTGAAACAGTCGTGCGCTCAATTGTTATTTTGCAAAAAGGTGCAAAACCACGGGTACTTGTCTCCATAGTAAAGGTACCTTGTTTACAAATTCCAACCCGTCTTTGACCTCATGAATAACAAAGCACTGAACACGTGACTCAAATCTATTCACATTTATGCTTTGAGCAGACCAATTTGAAATCGTGCCAAGTATCTGCGAGCTATCGATGGTCAATTCTTTTCAAATTTATAATTAAAAATTTAGGTACAAAACTTTTTTATGTTTAAGATGTTTACAAGAATTTTGATTTACTTGTTATGAAAAGCTATTTCAGTCGATTTTGATTTATTTTTATTCGGTATTTATCATTTCATATTGGAGGTCTGTAGCGTATTCTTACACTTACAGCTTGTGTCTCATTAATACAGAATTTTAAAATTTGAAATACTCTGGGTATATATTATATATTTGTCTTTGATCCTAAGCACATATGGACACCAGCGTTACGTTCATTGACTCTTGAAAAATATTAAAACTGTCAGTAAGTTTAAAGATAGTTGTTTGAAAAATACCAATTTATCATAATCTTTAGAAAATAATTAAAAGTGCACGCATACTTAAGGGAAAGGAATTGAAGTATGGAGTGCTATAAGAATCTGTACGTATTTCGGATGAAAAATCACTGGATGAATACATTACATTTGTACAAAATACATCCCTGGGGGGGGGCATTTTTTTTTAAATTCAATGTTCGCAGGTATTTTTAAAAACACAAAATTTTAAAGCAAGAATTTGCATTTGTATTTGTATTACCCTTTCTCATGAATGAAAAAGGGCGTTAAAATATTTGAAGTACTGGCGTCGGAAGCAAATTGAAAGTTAAATGGGGATCGGGGGGTTAAATGAAAGAGAAACAAAAATTCAGACCTTCTAAAAAAAACCTTGGCAAGCAAATAAAAAAACCCACTTATCCTTTTTTGACGTACACTGCAACATACCCGTTGAAAAGGGGGGGGTGCTGAACCTACGCCTCAATATTCAATGCCTATATTTTATGTCTACCTCCTTATCCCCCCCCCCCCCCGGTTCCGACACTATGGAAGTGATTTATTACTTATGTTACTACAAGGCGAGAGTTTGTTAAAAGCAAAATGTATACGCGAGTGGATTTTGACAATCAATGAATTTTGACGTTTAATTTTTCACCTTACGATTTTAGAGTTAATGAATTTTAAAATAAGGGAGATCATATAACCTTTCTGTGATGAATAATCAGGATTTTTTAAACAGTGTAATATGTACTGTACAAAGTAACAGACACTGCATGGTTTTCTTTATCCAGCAGTGATAATACTTAATTCTGATATTAAACTGATGTTTAATTTTCATTGATTTTCTTACGATTTTAATTTTTCACACGCAAAGTGAAGTTTCATAGCATGATTTATCGTATTTGTTGTAGCACTCGGATTTTGCAAAATTATTTACAAGCTTTAATGGATTGACTATCTCTTTAAAAATTTTGTTTTCTTTAAAGTATGAAAAAGTGTATACGTTCTGTTTACAAATTCTAATGTCTATTTAAAAATATATAAATAATTTGACGAATTTCTAATAAGCCATATCAAATATAACTCGTAAGTTACGCAGAAAAAACAAAAGTTAAGTCTGCCAAATGAAATAATTACTGCATGGATGTTTATATTTAGTCGGTCTCTGTCACTATAAAAAAGAAGAGTTTTAGGTGTCAGTTAATCTTAAAACTTCCTCGAACACACGCTAATGTATTCATTCTTATCACATGCTTAATTAGACGCTCCGCCTTCTAATTCAAATAATACAATGACCTACATAGCATTATGGCGAAGCTACGATTTTAAAGTGAAGTATACGGCTTTATTTTATTGATATCATGTATAAATTGAATGAAAGTCTTTCCCCTAAAAAACACTTTTATGAATATCTATACAGACTATGCTTGAAGACTTTAGTAGTAGTATAATAATGTTCCGATTTTAAAAGGTAAAATTCTTCATTAAAAAGGGGCGAGAGAGCCTTGTTATGAAGATTCATTCTTTCCTGTCGTTAACTTCTCCTTTTTGTAGCAATATATACCATTAACATCTCAGGAAGACAATGAAAAAAATCGAGAAATCTGAGGATTTGAGATAGCGAGGGTAAAAAACTAAAGAAAAGAAGAGTGATTTGAATTCCAATCACTTAGACGAAAATATGGTATTCGAGATTCTACTACCATGCATCAGTGTTCGAGAAAATGAAATTCTATTGTTCATTTGGCATGTTAGCAGGCGATTATCACTAATTCATTAATCACAGGCATTATTCTAGAATAGAAAAATCCTAAAAGCAATAAGAGCTTTTGCTACAACTGTATATCATGTAGGCATTTTGTCAGAATTAGTATTTTATCAATTGCAATTAAGTCAAGGCTAGGTAATGAAATATCAAAATAGGTATATATTTTATGACTTCAAATGTTGCATTCAATTTAAAAATCTGAATTTATATGTTATCATTTTCAATACTGGCTATATTTCGAAGGAAACTAAAAAAAAAAACCCTTAATTTCAGTATTTTTTTGTATATTTTTATAAGGTCATGTCCTTTTTGTAATTGCTGATTAATATTAATGTAGTACTTGAAGGAATGGAACAATAAATTTTAAAGTCATATACCTCCATATGTCCATCCAGAAAATACAGTCCCCTTTTGATCACACACTCTTTCATCGACAACCTGCTTTAGATTTTTTGAAGCGTCTAAGACCAAAACATAAAAGGCTCTTCGTGTAAGATAAATCTGATGGCAGGCATAGTACGCACATTGTCCTCCAAAGTCAAAAAAAGTTACAGTCTTGATGGCACTTTCGTTTATCTCGTTTCCATTGAATTTGTCAAAGATCTTGAGATTGTCAGCACGAAGACTCTCTACAAGGTGAAAAAAAACGTATCTCAGGAAGCAGAATTGCGACTTGAAAGTTAGAATGATGAAATTAAAGAAAGAGACTGAACGAACATTTTACACTGTAAACAGTAAGTGAAGAAATCTTGATCAGCTTTATTTCAGTGTTATAAGAATATGATACTTAATTTACATGAAAAACAAAATTGTCACACAATATAAAAAACAAAACATTTACACAATTTGAAATATTAAAATATGTATGCAGACTATTATATATTGAAAATATTTCAATTCAGCTTTGTAATGCAGCAAAACCAGATCGGTTTCAGTAATTTGCAGTATATTCCAGTAAAAAAAACAAAACATCGAAAAAAATCGCCTCTGGGCTGCTCAGAAGACAAATACATGTATATTCTAACCTTACACGTTATCTAAATATTTACACAAATATAGACTACTAAAGAGCTATAATAAATGATAGATCATAAATGAAAAAAGTGTCAAATACAATTTTGAACATTTTTTTTTCTTAGGAATAACACAAGCAAGAGGAAAAAAAGAAAACTTTACCTTTTAATTTTCCATTACTAATTTCAAATATTTCCTCATGAACGTCCAACCCTATCGTTGGTTTCACGTTCAGGATCTCTTCAGTAGAACGCCCAAGTAGGCGTTTTAGAAGCGTAGTCTTCCCGGCTCCGGCACATCCTACAATCATACCCCGAACTTGGTGGACAGTCTGTGTTCCTCTATTGGAGAGTTCCACGTAGTGTTCCTTGGCCTCTTTGTCCCAGTCTATGATTTCCTTTGGAAAGTTAACTAGCAAATATGAAAAAATAATTTGACAAAATCGGCATTATCCATTCAACATTTAAAATGCTGTTTGAAATATATTCAGATAAAGTTTAAGATACATAATTTTTTATTTAAATAACTTTAAAAATTTTGAAACCAGTTTATGCATCTAGTATTTGCAAGCCTACCAAACAAGACGGCATATACACCTTATTATGTTCCCCAAACGAAGTTGGGGAACATATTGTTTTTACTCTGTTTCTTATTATTATTAG